CTGGAGAGTTGGGCGCAGAGAAAACTGGTGAGGTTCAACAAGGGCAAACATAGGTTCTGCACCTGGGGAGGAATAACTGCATGCATCAGTACAGGTTAGAGGTTAACCTGCTGGAGGAGCTTTGCAGAAAAGGAGCTAGGCGCTAGAGTAGCCAAGAAAGCCAGTGATATCCTGGTTGCATTAAAAGAGCCAACAGGATGAGGAAAGTGATCCTCTCTCCCTGTTCTGCCCTGGAAAGGCCACATCTGGAGCTCTGCACCCAGATCAGAAATGGCAAAGAACTCCAAAGAGTCCAGCAGAGAGCCACAAAGATGACGAGGGGCCTGGAGCATCTCCTGTATGGGGAAAGGCTGAGAGACCTGGGGCTGGTCAGCCTGGAGGAGAAAATGCTGAGATGGGACCTCAGCAATGTCCATAAATATCTCGACTGTGGGAATCAAACCGATGGGAGCGGGCTCTTTTTGGTGGTGTGCAGCAACAGAACAACGGGCAGGAACTGGAACGAGAGAAGTTCCATATAAACACCAGGAAGCCAAATGTAGCGCACCCCAGCAGCTCCCCAGGGCCTAAGGGCTCCTCCGCATCAACCCCGCCTCCGCCTCACCCCCCCGGCTCCGGGCACTCCGCTGAGGCCGTGATGGCCGCGCACCGCCGCCTCACCTCCTTCCTCTTCTGCCCCGCAGCGCGCGGCCCGCCGCAGGCCAGCAGCAGCAGCAGCGCCAACACCGACAGCGCCGCCATCGCTGCCCCTTACCGCCACCTCGCACCTACTGGCAGACCACAGAGTCGCGACACCACCCAGCTGCTTCCTATTGGCTGCAGCACCAGCCCGCGTCTCATTGCCGGCATTTTATTCGCGGGCTCTGCGCTCAGCTCTGGAGCGGCAGCCAATAAGGAGGAGGCAAGCTGGGGAAGCCGGATTGGTGGAGCTGCTTTGAGGGGCGGGCTCCCGCAAGGCGGGGGTGGGCGTTACGCTGCACGCGGTACGGGGAGGGTAACGCGCTGCAATTTTTTGTCATGGAGTGCTGGTGTGGCTGCGTTTATAAACACTGCGAGCTGCGGGGTGCTCGGGCTTCCCGGCTGCAGGCGAACCTCGTGCCGGGAGTCCCTCCGAAACCGAAAAGAAATATGGAATAAGACTGTGCGAAGCTTCGTCGCTCCTCAGAGCCGTCCCTGCTGTTATAAGCGCGTGTCTATCGCTGTGCCGTGTATTTGAAAGGTGGTTAAAAACGTGAAGTAAATGCATATGTAAAACCTTCGGCCGGTGGTAACGGGCTGAGTGAAATCAAGCGCTCATACTTTCCTCTGCCTGAGAACATACGTTTTATAGAACGCCGTCCTAGTGCTGCGGAGCTCACCGCGGTTTCTTATCTTGTTCAAAGTCCTTCGTCTGTACAGACAGTGTGGATGGGGACTGGTGCAGTTCGAAAGAAAAAAAAAAAAAAAAAAGTGGTGTCAGAAGTGGGATTCGAACCCACGCCTCCATTCGGAGACCAGAATACCCAACCCGCCATGGGAAGGCGCGGCACGCCTTGAGTCTGGCGCCTTAGACCACTCGGCCATCCTGACACTGCGTACATAGCGGCCGCAGGGAGGCTCTTAATCCTTTCGTCACCGGTGCGCCAGCTCATCATAGGAGGCCTGTTTTTTGGTGTTGTGCAAGGAGGCGCTCCTCAATCTGCATACTAGAGAGCGAGAGCCCCCATGTCACTCAGCTACAGAGCTTTCCCCGCTAGGGCTCCCTCGTAGCGAAAAGGCGCTTCCCTCGCCGCTCCGTGGTACCTCGGCGGAACTACATTTTCCAGAGGGCGTCACTCGGCGGCGCAGCGCACTGGCGACTTCCGGCGCGGCCATTTTGTTTTTCACCGCTCTCCAAGGGTACCCTCATCCGCCGGCCGCGGTCGGTCCGTGCTCGGCACCATGTTTCCTGTGGCCAGGGCTGCTCTCAACCTCACGGGTAAGGAAGGGGCTCTCCGGATCGCAGCCGTGCTGGGGCTCTCGGGAAGTTGGGGTAGGCCTTTTCCTCAGGGCTCCGCACGGCTTCCCGCCGTCCCTGTCAGGGCTCCCAGCGGCCCGGGTCCCTTCCCAGAGCGTCTCTGGACTCGCTTCCCTCCGTGAGGTTCATGGTGGCGGGTGGAGGCTGCCGTCTCTTCGTTCTACCTCTTCTTCCTCCTCTTTTTTACCGCCTTTAGTCGAGCTGACCTTGGGTTCCCTTGCTCGGTGCTCTTCCTCCTTGATCTGAAAGCACATCCAGATCATGTACAGTGCATGGAGAGGTACTCAGTGCTGTCAGTGCCAAATGCTTAAACTCAAGAGTAAAGCAGTCTCTCTGGTGACAGACTCAGCAGTAATTGACCCGGTCCTCTCACATTTGGTGCTGGCTCACAAGCAGTTATTGTGTCCTTTAAAGGTGCTGAGCTGTTTCAGCTGTTTTCAACATCAGAGCAGCATGCTCACCTTCACAGAGCACTCTGTGGATGTGACAGCATTTAGGGTATCATCAGGGCAGTGATGGCAGTCATGTTTTGAGACGGTATGTGTGAAACTCATATAAAAAATAGTTGCTGTATAATGGCTGTATGCACAGACCACTGTTTCATCAATTCATTTGTGTACAACTATTGTGCAATTTACTGTCTGTACTGATAGCTTGATTCATAAATAAGACTATCTTATAAGACAAATGTTACGTATATGTATTATACGTTAATGAACATACATACCTCCTATCCTCTGAAGAGATCCTCCCATATCTAATTATCTATATAATGAGAAGCTATTTCCCTTTTCTTCATCACTTCGCTTCCTTCACACCAAAAATCATAAAGGGAATGAGAAATGTGTTTCTAAAACCCACAGTCTTCAACCCCTTAATTTGATGATGGGCTTCCTCCTGAAAGTGTTTGAGTACACATACTGAAAATGAAGAATTTCTAAATATGAAATCTCAAAAACAGATTCTGAAATTAAAACTTTATTTACTCAAATTACTTTCTTAGATAAATAGTCACACAGTTTTATTAATTGAACTGCCACAATGGGGACCCACAGGAAAGAAAAAGTAACAAAGGATTTGCTTCCTGAAGCAAATTTCAGGAATAACCTTCACAGGAGAGACTGGGAAGGCTACAACAAAATGTACGGCTTTCTGGATCACAGAACAGCCTGGGTTGGAAGGGACCTCAAGGATCATGAATCTTCAACCCCCCGCCACAAGCAGGGCCACAAAAATCCCATACTTTGAATTTGTTCCAATAGGCTAAAGATAACTTTATTTCTAAAGTTTTCAATGCTGATTGTTGCCATTCTGTTGGTGGAAGATGAGCATTATGAGTAGTTTGAGCTCATATTTGAGTTGACTCCCATATTTCTAATTCTCTTTAATATTCCTTAGCTCGTGGTGTTCAGCATACCGCAGTAAGACAAGCTCATCGCAAACATGAACCGAACTTCCATGATAAATACGGAAATCTGGTGCTGATTGGCGGAGCAGCAGTTTTCGCTGCTGTCTGGGGATATGTAAGTCTTCCCTTGCTTTACCACTTTGTTGTTGTGATGCAGCTGTAAGCTTGTCAGCTATTTTCTGAAGGGCTCACCTGTTGCAAACACCTTAAGTGGTAAGAATTTTGGATTTTTTTTTAAGTCACTAGCAGTGTGATAGAAATAGAGATGGATTACTTTGTGTTTTGAGTTTTTACACACATTTCATTGATTTTTAAAATGTACTGGGAGCAAGCATTGTCTACTTCACTTGGGTCATGTAAAATCATTATGCAAATGCTGTAAAGTATTGGATGATCAATAAGCATACAGAGAAGCTAGGCTAGTAAGATTATCATATTGGAAAGGATAATCAGAGATAAATGAAAAGTACTCACCAGCATTGCAGGTTCAGAAGGAGCAATCTCCAGAGAGAGATTCTTCCCCAGCCACAGTCAGTCCTTAAATGGGGTCTGGGAGAGGCAGCCAGGCTCCACCCCTTCCAAGTAGAATTGCCTTCACCTGTGGTCCCACGGCTGACGCAGTGCTCGCCTCAGGTGGTCAATCAGAGGTTCAGGCCATGGTCCAACAGTTCCTCTACAGGTTGCCTTAGCTATTCAGGCAGAAGTTGTAGCTGAATATGTTATGGTGTTAATTTTAATTTTTACTGAAGTTATGGTGAAAACAGTTTGGATCATGTACAGGAAATGAATTTAGTGATTTACATCCTAGACCTTTGGTTCTAAAGTATTTTGAAATAGAAAACTGAAATATTTAAGTAATGTTTAAGTAAAGTAAACATTTCCCACTTCCTTACTGAAAGATGAACACAGTAACACGTTCTAGTACAAGAAATCTAAACCAAAACCAGTAGAAATATCCATGTATCAGAATGTTTCTTTGATTTCAGAGTTAATCATCTTGATTTTTATCTTCCTACAGGTGCTTACAAAATCTGGAATTGAGTGGGGCTTGTCACCAGTTGGCAGAGTCACTCCTAAAGAGTGGAGGGAGTAACTCTTTTGCTTATAATGAACTGGTCCAAGCTTTCACAGGAGAAAAAAAAACACACACGTGCATGAACATAATGGCATTTGTTCCATGGGTACCACTTGTGCTGTGGCGTTCCTGGTCTAATAAATATACCTAGAAACCTGGATGGCTCTTTGAGGTTTCCTTTATGTTGTGTCTTTGTGCTGAAGAAACATAAGAAGACTTAAATGGCCCGTATTAGATAATCCCAGCTGTTCCTTTCACTGGAGGATAATGGAGAGATCCAAAAATACAGTATAGTTGCCTGCAGAGTTCACCTTGCTGGCCTTCTGACAGCAACCTTTGTGTTTCCCTTTGGATCCTTTTCCCACATGTGCGAGTTTTGCCACCTTCTGAGTGAGCTGTGCCTCGCTCGGGGCTGACAAGCGCTGTGTGTTTCTGCTATCTCTGAATTGGTCAGACACACCCCAGGTGGCAGCCGGTAGCTCAGCGCTGCTCTTCGCTGACGTTTATTGAAATACAGGATTTCAGGTGCAAGTCTCTGCCAATGAAAATGGCGGGGGTAGTTTAGCGCTAAGTGCGGCCCCCGTGAACAGCGAAGTCACCGAAACGCGATTTCCGCGCGCTATGAAGCGGCGCACAGCTGAACCGGCCGCCCTCATCGCTGCCGGCTTAACAGGGCGGCGGGGCGGCATCACGTGGCGGCCGCGCGTGTCACGTGAGCTGGGCGCCGCTCGCTGCCGTGGCGGCGGGGCGGGGCTGTCGCTGCGCAGCGCTCGGTGCGGCTTGGCGCTCGCGGCCTGCCCGGGAGCGGCTTCTCCCTCGGAACGCGGTGCCGGAGGTAGGGGCGGCTCGCGGTGCCGGTACGGCGGTGCGGAGCTGGGCTTTGGGTGGAAGAAGCGCGTTCGGAAGCGTGCGGGGGGCGTCGCCGTGCGCTGCGGGCGGTGGGTAGGCGGGGAGCGGTGCCGCTGTCGCCCGGGGGGCTCGGAGCGCGGCTGTGGGTGAGCGGGGCGCGGCGGGAGGCTCTTCCAGCTCCTTTCCCTCCGGCTCCGAGCTGCCGTACGGACAGCTAGCATTCTGCCTTCTCTCTGCTGCGCTGTGGGTTTTTCCAATGCTTCCACCAAACACGTAGCGTCGGTGTGCTGGAAGAAGGCCAGCGCTTGTTTGTGAGGGTTTGCGGTAGATTTCCTCTATGAGGATGCGAATACAGCAAACCGTAGCCGCCCTGTGCTCATGTTCTGGAAGTTGCACGTAATTCGTTAGTGTAAACTTGTTCTTAAAAGTCTACGTAGTCACCTAAATGGTATTTCTATGCTTGGGAACCTGTTGCATTGTGATCCTGGATGTGAATAAGCCGATGGGGGGTTCTGCGGTGTGGTAATGCACCAGCTGGGTCTGTGCTGGGTGAGAGCATCAGCACGGTTTGTGTAGGAACACACAAATAAAGAGTACTTTATCCAGTTGTAGAGAAAAGACCTGGACTTGATTTTCCTCACCAGGTGATGAATAAGTGAAGGAAGAGGCAGCATAGCACAGTACTCACTGGTGTTACTCCAATTTTCCCTTCTGCAGTGCAGTATGTATTGCATCTTGAGACTAAGCCTGGGAATGGGAGCCCTGGGCTGACCTTGGTGTGCTCGTGTAGCAAGTCTTGCTAAATTATATTCTGCTCCTAATGTTCATAATGATTCCTCCAGGGGAGCATTCACGTTCTCCTAAAATCCATTTCAAAGAGTTTAGTGGAAGGACAGGAGCAGGTGAAACAATTTGAGAAGAACTTGTCTGGAATAGTTATAAAACTGTCCTTAGAACTGACATAATATATATTCAGTTTGTGCTTTTTTTTTTTTTTTCATCTGACTGCTGTAGAAATAAAACTCTTCAGGGAAGTTTCCAGTCTGCTGACCAAGCAGAAGTTGCTTAAGACTTGAGCAGCATGAATTACCCTGTATAGTCTCATACAGCTGTCTGTGATAGATATTTATTATGGATGTGCAGTTTCCCACACTGAGTGAGCCTCATTAATCTGATCGGACTTTTAGATGTAACCATTTGTCAGGGAAAGAAAAAAAAACCCACAAAACTCTTCTGTCAGACCAGGTTCCCTGTAACTTCAGTATTTTCATAAGATGATACAGCTTTGTCTTCTTATGCTGTCCTTTGTTCTTTTTGTGTGTGTGTGCGTGCTTTTGGGGCCATTTAGGCACACTCTCTTCCACGTAATGTAATTAGGAAATTCGCCTTCTGATGCCATAAATGAAGCTTTTAGGTAGGACTGAGCCGCTTGGAAACCTTATCAAGCCCCAAGGCTGTAGTTAAATCTGACAGATTCTGTGCCTGGCATTTGTTTGATGCTGCCCAGCTTTTGCTGGCATCTTTCAAAAGCTATGAATTCAAAATACGTGTAGAAAACTTTGGTGAAAGCTAAAGTTGTGTCCTTCAAGGAGTGCACTCAATCGTTCTGTGACGTATCCCTGCTGATCCATAGAACAGACACAGAGCATGTTCGCTGTGTCTGTTGCACTGTAGTGGCGTTACACTGCACTGCCCGGGTTGGCTTTGATAAACTTTGAGAAACTCTGAAGCATTTCTGGGGATGTAAAGTGGGAGTTTCAGGTTTTACCAGTAGCTTCTATTTTACGTTGCTCATCTTTTCTTGTCAATGTGAGGTTGTAACTGACAGCTTTGACTTCACCTATCTTTAGCATGCTTCAGAGTACTTTACTTACTAAAACTGCTGTTAGCAATTGGTAAGGCAGGTATATGTATAGATAATAAACTATTACAGATATTACAAGCAAATATATATTAGTAGATATTGAGACTGTAGCACTAATTAGCAGCAGCAATCAAAGGTAGTGTAAGATCAGTAATGTAATACTAGCAAAGTTGCACTGCAGGTTCAATAAAGTCACAAATACTGTGATAGCAAATGTGGATTACAAGCATAACAAGACTCTACATACGACAGCTTATGTACATATGTGTATTCCATAGAACTACCAGCACCAGGTGCATTAAGGGAGAAGTTCCAAGTTCAAACCACTGCTGTAGTACACAAAGATTGCTGAGGTGCACCCTCAGCAGTTTGTGGATAACACCAAGCTGTGGGGTGCAGTCGACACGCCTGAGGGATGGGATGCCATCCATTGAGACCTCAGACCTAGGCTGAGCACTGAGCCCAGGTGAAACTCATGAAGTTCGACAAATCCAAGTTAAATGTCTGCGCCTGAGTTGTAACAACCCTTGCTGTTAGTACGAGCTGGGGGATAGCAGGATTGAGTACGGCCTGCTGAGAAGGACATGGGGGTACTGGTGGACGGTGAGCTACATGTGAGCCAGCAGTGTGCCTTCATAACCCAGAAAGCCAACTGTATCCTGGGCTGCATCAAAAGCAGCAAGGCCTGCAGGGTGAGGGAGGGGATCTGCCCCTCTGCTCTGCACTGTGAGAGCTCACCTGGAGTGCTGCATCCAGAAGTAGAGACATGGGATCACAGCATCACCGAGGTTGGAAAAGACCTCCAAGATCACCCAGGCCAACCCTCCAGCTGTTCCTCAGTATAGGAGAGACTGGAGCTGTTGGGGCACATCCAAGGGAGAGCCTCAAAAATCCAAGGGATGGAAAACCTCCCTATGAGGATGGGCTGAGATCTGGGGCTGTGCAGCATGGAGGACAGAAGCTCCATGAGACCTGAGAGTGGCCTTTCAAGATCTAAAGGGAAGCTACAGGAAAGAAGGGGACAGACTCTTTATAGTGTCTGTTGCGACAGGGCAAGGGGAAATGGTTTTAAACAAAGAGAGGGAAGATTTAGATTGGATATATTGAAAGAAAGAAAGTTTTTACAGTAGGGGTGGTGAGAAAGTGTAGCGGGTTGCCCAGAGAGGTGGTGGTGCCCCCTCCATGGAGATGCCTTACGGTCAGTCTGGATGGGCTCTGAGCACCTGATGGAGCTGTAGGTGTCCCTGCTCATTGCAGTGGACTGATGGCCTTTAGGGCTCCCTTCCAACTAAAGCCATGCTATGATTGCTGCTCAGCCTCAGGAAGAGTATTTTGACTTCTGTATTTCTTTTCTTTTCAACTTGGTAAAATGTTAATGCACTTAAGGAGAAATGGTGTTAAACTGTCAATATTTGTGTGCCATTTGTGTACATATAATTTATTGGTGTAACACTTTTCAGGCTGCTTAGTCGTGAATATGTTGTAACTTATTGTCAGAAGGAGGAAAATGTCTTTTAAGTTTCAGCTGAAGTATTTCTTCAAGGAAGTGCTCAGAAGGGGAGGTAGAGTGTTATAGAGGAATATACACAAGTAGAATACTCTCATAGGTGTAAGAACATATTAGCTTTTAACTTGTTTTTTTAACAAGTTTTAACTTGTTATTTCCTGGGAGTTTTGTAGCAGGAGGAAAAAGGCAGTGTGTATACATTCCCTATATAGTAATGCCATCCTTTCCTTAGAAAACAAGTCTCTTAACATTGTATCAAGAGTGCTGGAAATGCAGACAAGGTTTGGATGCAGTTTGAGTGCATGTTTGAATTACAGTTCCCTCAAGGTGAGGATTTTCTCTACTGTGTTTATACTTATACATGTGCTTAATGGAGTGGTGCCCTCATCCGTTGTTCCTAAGAGAACAGTCTTTTAAAAGCCCAAACAAACACACACAAACCCCTCCCCGGGGCAGTGAAATGAATGAAGCTTTATTGTTTCTGATTTATTATTTAAATCCAAACGCCAGCAGATTTTAAAGGAAGAACTGTGCCTATACAAAACAGTGCACATCAAATCCTCTCAAGGTAATAGGATTTCAGTGTGCTTTGTGATCTTAACGTGGCAATTCAGGTTCAGAATTACTGCAATCAAATTTTCAAATACCATATTTGAAGTCACTTTATGAACCTTGTTTAGTTATAACAGGCTAGAAAGGCAGACTAACTGCAACTGCTATTTCCTTTTCCACATATTACCCCTTAAGTGGGAAACATGAGGTTGTATGAAGAGTGGTGGAATTGACTGTATGTAGGGTCAACAGCAGATGGGGAAGGAAATAACCCCAGAAAACGGAGGAAATACTTTTCCCCATCACACACTAATAATACCAGGTCTGGGCTTTTTAAAGTATTTATAGTGTTTTCTCTCTATATATAAACAGTTAATTCTCACCTATGCATTAAAATAAATAGCAATGCTGTTAAGTATTGCAAACACTTTAATAATGTTACTTCACCCTATTGCTTGTGTAGTTGCTGTTAGTTTGACACAAGTGTACCCTTGCTGGTTGTAGGAAGTGACTGTAACCTACTGTAGCTTCACTCTTAACCCCGAGGACAGGCAGGAGCCAGCAGGCTTTCTCAGGCTGCCCTGCACTTGTATACCAGCTCATCCAAGGCAACGTATCTTACCAACCTGTGTTGTGTTAATTTTAGATAGCAGTTCACAGATATTGTTCTCCTTACTTTAATTCTCCTTACTTTAAATTTCTTCTGAATGTAGTAATAGTGCAGTTGTCAGGGCGGTCCCAAGTTTATGACAATTTAAATTCACTTCTCTGCAGACTATGAGATGACAGCTGATAGGCTGTGGTAGCTCAGTTCTCTGTGTGTCTGATTGTTGTGCTTACAAAATACCCTGCAAGTCAAGTACTTCTTGAAACTTCACCTGTACTTTAGCCTTGTGGGAAGATTCATTGCTCCCTGACTGTGGAATTACAATTACGTCTTTGTTTGTTCTTCATGGACTGAGCATTCCTCATGGAAGAACTGAAGGATCAATAAAGGCCAGGTGATGGAATGAAAGCATGTTTCCTTAGTTAGCTTTGTAGTGTTTTTTACAAAATATCCTGTGTTTTTGTGTATGCAGACAAGCCTGAGAAAGGACATATGTGAAGCTCTTAAAATGCACTATTCTACTGATTCATTACTCCCTCGTGTTTCAAGTGTGGTTCCCTATTTCTATAGATGTGTAAATATTACCTGTAACTATTTCTGTGTGTTGCTGATAATTCAGATCATCAGAATAGGCAAGAAGTGAGACCTATACTAACTCTTGATGTAGAGTTATTGTATTAGTTCACCAAGT